GAGAGGGCGCTCTTTCTGCCGGGGGGTTCAGACGATACGCCAAGCCGCGTTCATTCTGAACTGGGTTATTTTGGGGCTTCCTGCGGCTGGGCCGGGCCGGGCCGGGCCGGGCCGGGTTCATTTATTTGCGGAAAGCGCGCGTGCCCCGTCTTAGTCGTTTAGCAGTGCATTTGCAGCCGCCCCCTCTCCCGGCAGGCCGATACACTGGGCAACAGTGGTTGGCATCAGGCCAAACTTCATCAAGTAAAGCAGTGAAACAATAAATAATGACAAAATCATACTTATCACCCAAACCTGCCATGACGGAAAAGTATGGAAGAGTTAAGAGAAGGTGTTGCACACAGTGGGAAGCGTTTAGGAAGGCGAGCATTTTGTATTTTGCATCTATTATGTTTGTTTTTAATTGTATTTTTTGTTGTTGTTTTATACTGGTTTTGTACGGTTTGCCATTCAGAGTTCTTTGCTTAAGATGGGTGCTCATACGAATTTTCTAAATCGATCGATTGATACGACTCTTGCCAGATGTTTCTCTCGGGCAGAAAGCGGTGGGCAAGATGGAGAACCTGCTCCCCAACCTTTGCATCTCTCCCATCCCGGTGGTGTACGTTCCACCACGGAGGAACGTCCCACTGGCACTGTTCCTCCGTGGTGAGCTTCAATTCGGTCGCATTTGAGGGTTTTCTAGCACGAACGGAGCTAGCACAATGTTCCAGTGGGGTTTCAATCCGGACGAGGTCTTGGCCATCCCAAACCACCGAGCCGGTGGTTCTCCATCGCTCTCTTGCAGGTTTGCTTCCAGGTTTGGAATTGGCCTCTCGCCACGTGACCCACTTCTACTTCAACTCACAGAAAGGTGGGCTGACACGCTCTGGTTAAATTCTGATGCAAAACGCAACTCCACTTCCTTCAACGGCATTGAGTCCACCAAGAGCAGAGGCAGCAGAGTGTCCCCCAGGCCTGACGCTGCCACCCCCCCCCACCTGACAACTGTGCAATGAAGTCCTCACCTTCTTCCAGACATAATTACAGCCGCGTAGACAGAACAGTCCCCTGCAGACTCGTCGGTCCGTAGAAGATGCCTCCAGAAATGCTTTCTGGCTAACTTGAAAGGCACATTGATGTTCTTCTCCATGAACCACAGTTTCTGGCTGGCTGCTCCTCACCCATAGTCCATCCCATGTTGGGTGACTCTCTGTATGAAATATGCGCCAAACCTGGGTGCGATTTCTTCATCAAGGTCCCTTGTATCTCTCTGTGGGACCAGCATGAAGCTCGGGCAGCCTTCAGAAGCAAAGTCCATGCAGAAATTCAGACGATCCAGAATACTTCTTAGCAGAACAGTGAATTCAGGCGTTTCATAAGAAGCTGAACAAGTAAAGGAAGCCGTGGAAGGAGAAAGCCACCCCTGGAGCATTGCTGGATGGAGGGCTGGCCCGGACTAGATGTTGTGATTCATTGTGGCATTAACACACACGGCAGCCACTGACCTCACTGGTCCCCGTGGTTCAGAAAAGCAGACACCCCTCTACATCCGTTGCTCTTGATGAGGCTCTTTCTGGCCCTCGCTGTACAGGGCAAGCGTGGCCAACCCGCTAGAATAAATAACATTCCAGCTGGTGGAATATTTGCCCAAGGAAAACAACCAGGCCTCCTTGCTGGGGAGGAAAGAGGAAGAGAGACCAGCCAGCCAGGAGAGGCTACTGAACCTGATTCTCCACGGTTGCGCAAGGAAGGAGGGCATTTCCTTCCTCCTCGTAAAATGCTCAGAATTGCTCTGATCCCTGCTTTGCTCCCGGTGGCTTACAGAGAATAGGGGCAAGAGTGACCGAGCCCAGGCAAGTCGCAGATGAGGAAGAAGCATTCCCAGCTTACGCTGCGCTCTGCAGTCCTGCCCTGTCGCTGCTTGTTGCCCTGTGAGTCTCTCTGTGCATCACTACAACATTTACGGCTGGAGCACGAATGCATGTCTCCTGCAAGTTGTGGGAATGGCAGCATGGCAGAGGTTTGGATCTCGCCAAAAAGGGTAGGAAGAAGGGGGTTGTGCTGTTCCCTCCATGCGCGCGCACAGAACCGTCCCATTCTTGCCTTTTCCTTTTAAGCCTTCAGGCTGGCTTAGATGTTTACGTGGACACTCAGGAACTCTTTGAACTGGTTCACACAGTGGCCTAAACCAGGGTTGATTGATTATTTATTTATTTATTTACTTACTTATTTATTTATTTATTTATAAAATTCATCACTGCCCATCTCACTGCAGAGTGACTCTGGACGGTGCACAGCAAAAACAGAACAAACGTTGATTAAAATAGATAAATATTAATTAGTTGATTAAAATATGCTACAATAACAAACTTCCTATATGATACTTCCAAGAGGCTGGTGTTAATTAGGTGTTAATAAACGCAGGGAGCGTCTTCAAAGTGCCAGCCATCCCCAGGGGCGGTTGTATCTTTCCTCGCCCCACACAAGTTGGCAGAGCCGAGTCTTCAATTCCCTCCGGAAAAATTGGGAGGGCGGGGGCCCACCTCACCTCTGGCGGGGAGAGTATTGCATAGGGCGGGGGCAACGGCAGAGAAGATTAACTATGGCTTACTGAATAGCCATGATTGCCTGGATTTGGACAAGCCGCTAAGCCATAGACCATGAGTTAAGCAGCACGGTGGCTGAGCCCACACAAGACAGTAAGCCACACTAAACATGCTTTGCGTGTTGCGCAATCAGAGCCCATTATGGACTATCTGCAAACAGGTTTGTTCACTTCTGGGGTGATGGGCAGAAGAGTTCTCTGGTGGCGGTACTTTCTATATTCCGCCACTCGTAGGGAGTCCTAAAGTTGATTCTTCCTTATGTAGCAACAGAGAGGAAGATTCAAAGGTGACAGAAACCGGGATGCAGAATATTGGCCCTGAATTCTAAGCAAGCAGCTCCCGAGAAAACCTTGGAAAGTGACCGTGCGGAAAACATCCCAGGGAGATGGTTGACTCTGCAGGGCTGGGCAGCCTCGTGTCAAGAACGCTTGAATTGGGTTTCTGCCCTAGGCGAGGGGCTGGGCTAGATGACCTCAGTACCTTCTAGGATTCTGCTGTGCTTTTACTTGCATTTTCTGTTCAAAGAAAAAAAGTCTGCTTTTTCCCACTGTTTGGGGAGGGTTCAGACACACGGGAACAGGTTCAGAAAAAAGCGAGAATGATCCAGAGACCAGAAATGTAAATCTTGAGGGGAGACTGGATGATCGCGGTAGCCTGGGATTCAGACCCCCAAGCCAAGCTTAACTTGGGGACACTTGACCTCTTCCTCTCCATGGACACAGAACACCCGTCGTCATCCCAGGTGCCCCCAGTGCCGACGCCATGATTCCCAGGCAGCGCCCGTTCCGCTCCTGCAGACGGATCGTCTGGGCACTCGGGGGAGGGAGGCCCCCCTGCACCCGCTGCTGCGGCATGGACTTGGCAGAGGCCCTGGACCCGGGCAGCTGGGCCTTGGCAGCCAAGCCCCTGACTCTGGTAGCAGACGTCCTCTGGGCGGAGTGGGGGAGGCAGGATTATTCTTGCCCTGGCTCGGGGGTGTGCCTTTAAGCTGCAGATAAATCCTTTCTATAGGATTTAGAAAGAGGGATATTTCTCAGAATTTGCAAAAGAACATAAGGGGCAGCAGCAAGCTTAATCCTGGGCGGTAAAAACAGGGAGGTTTTTCAGCAGCTTGAAGGCCAACTCATTTCTTCAGCACTTGCCCAGAAATTTGGGGAATCACCATCAGGGTACCTTTACTCTTCATCTCATCATGCATTATTTTCGGGCATTTTTCTGAGAACTCTGCCTGCCTCTTCCATGCCTCCGAAGTCAGTGTTACATACTGGAATCGCTTTGGTTTCTTGGCAACGCTGCACTAGGAGGAACAGCTTCCTCCAGAGAAACGTCGTTCCAGAAATGGCCTGGATGCGATGCAGCCAACTGTTGCGGTCCAGTTTGGACTAAATACACCCTGGTCTATTTCCATAGAAAACCCAGGTTCAGGGGAACAGACGGGGTTGCTGCTGGTGGACCCCCCCCGCTCTTTTTTTTATTTCATTTTTTAGCAAGCATCCTAAATTTCAAGAGTAGGGCACCCATTCAGGCCAGTTTGTGGGTTGTATTGCAAACCGCCCAAAGGGCTTCAGTTATTGGACGGTTTACTGTTTTTAATAAATGAATGTAGGTGGGGGAACCCCCCGTGAGAGGCTGAGTAGGGTTGCCTCTTGCAGGAGGTGGAGAGAAGGGATGTTCAGTTTCCCCCTCATAATTTTGGGGTGGGGCTAAACCTGTGCTAAGTCTATTTTAGGGCTTACACGGCAGCTTTCCTGCCTCAGATGGAGGAAACCAGATCTTGAGGTGCCCAAATTCAGCCATGGAAGAGCTGCAGGCTGGCCACCTCCCAGCGGGGTGCAGAAGAGTTCAGAATGGGCTGGTTAGGGTCAAACCCTTCCACACCCGCACTCGACACACACACGTGCATTATCTCTTTGGGCAGGTGCTGGTCTGTCAAGCGAGTGCTGCCCGCAGCCTCCGGGCCTGGCTCGTAACCGGGCCTGGGCAGGCTTGCACCTTCTCTGCTTCCCCTGGAACGGGCGTGGCAAACATGTTGAGCCTGTTTCTGTTCTGGACTAGATTAAGGGGCAGAACAGCAACTGGTGGGAGCCTCTGGCCCAGTGTGGCTGAGTCAGACCTTGGATGGGAGACCACTCAGAAATCTCAGGCCCGCAAGCTGGGCCGGGAAGTGAAAAACCACTCTGGCAGAAGGTGGTGGAAAACCACTCCTGGAAAAAGTGCACGATGCGTCACTAGGAACTGAGTGCTTCATATTCAAGGGGCAAAGCAGCGCACGGAGATGCACCCTGGGTGATGGCTGGCTTCCACAGAGACACCCGGGTGAAAAGGACCTCCCTGCTGTGAATGCCAGGTGCGCGTGCTTAGGGCACAGATGCGAAAGCATGTTTCTTGCAGCCGACAAAAAGCTGCATTTCTCCTCTTGGCAACCTGTGGATGTACCACGTCTCACTGCTTCTGAGCGAGATGAGCAAGCCTGTTGGCCTCTAGCAGCATCTCTGCAGGACGTGGTCAAACACCTCGACTAAGATGGTGGCCGCGATGGTGGGACTGACGCTCCGCCCATTTTTTATGTGCATTGCACCACCATGGCCACCATCTTGACTTTTTTGACCATTCCCTGTAGATGTCTCTGCACCAGAGACCAAAAGCTGTCTCTGCACAACGTGGGTCTGCAGCCGCTGCACTCACACACACCAGCTAACCCTGGTTACACCTAACCCTGGTTCGGTTGTATTTGTTTTGGGGTGGCTTAGCCCAAAATGCAAACTCTTGCCTTTTTTGTGGGTCTGGTGTGACCTCAGAAGGAGGGATTTCGCTCAATACCCAAGTTAAGAGCACTGCGCAAACCGAAACCACAGTCCCGACAGCCACCCAGGGCCTGAAGGCATCTTCATGTAAGGGTTGATTTCTAAAACCTGGCATGTCCGGCTGGCAGGCGATGGAGATGCGCAAAAGAGGTGGCTTGATGTGGCAAGAAGTAGATAGTCTGCACGTGAACAGAGGCACTCTTGAGGTGGGAGTGGGGGTGCTGATTTATTTCATTTAGAGGCTGCCCAGCTCCAAATCATTCTGGTTGGGTTACGCTTCAAAAGCAAGAAACAATAAACATGAAGAAACAAATCATGAACATTGAGAAGAGGAGACCATACATGACAATCAAAGCAGCTGAGTGCAATTTCTCAACCTTGGCCCCTTGAAGATGAGTGGACTTCAACTCCCAGAATTCCTGTGGTTTGGGAAGCATCGGCAGGCAGGTTGTGAAAAGCAGACCTGGAGGGAGGTGCAGAAGGAACCCTGTTGCAGGAAAGGCTGCCCCCCCATGGCAGTAGCT